TGATATTAAAATGTTCATCTAACTCCATAAAAATAATCAAAATATACACGCAAGCATTGGGAAATGAGCTGACATTGACTAGCAAGAATTGGTCTAATAATTGTCTATACTAAAGGCAGATATTTAATTAACTTTACAAAGCATACTTCTAGGCATATACAGTGCATTTGGAAAGTCTTCAGACCCCTTGAGTTTTTACTCATTTTATTATGTTACAGCCTTATTCTAAAATTGATTAAATTGTTTCCCCCCCCCTCATCAATCTACACACAATACCCCATAATGACAAAGCAAAAACAGGTTATAATTTTTTGCAAATGTATATCACATTTACATAAGTACTCAGACCCTTTACTCAGTACTTTGTTGAAGCACATTTGGCAGCGATTACAGCCTTGAGTATTCTTGGGTATGACGCTACAAGCTTGGCACACCTGTATTTGGGGAGTTTCTCCCATTCTTCTCTGCAGATCCTCTCAAGCTCTGTCAGGTTATATGGGGAGCGTCGCTGCCCAGCTATTTTCAGGTCTCTCCAGAGAATGTTCAATCAGGTTCAAGTCTGGGCTCTGGCTGGGCCACTCAAGGACATTCAGAGACTTGTCACGAAGCCACTTCTGCGTTGTCTTGGCTCTGTGCCTAGGGTCATTGTCCTGTTGGAAGGTGAACCTTCGCCCCAGTCTGAGGTCCTGATTTCATCAAGGATCTCTCTGTACTTTGCTCCGTTCATCTTTCCCTCGATCCTGACTAGTCTCCCAGTCCCTGCCGCTGAAAAACATCCCCACAGCATGATGCTGCCACCACCATGCTTCACCTTAGGGATGGTGCCAGGTTTCCTCCAGACGTGACACTTGGCATTCAGGCCAAAGAGTTAGATCTTGGTTTCATCAGACCAGAGAATCTTGTGTCTCATGGTCTGAGAGTCCTTTAGGTGCCTTTTTGCAAACTGCAAGTTGGCTGTCATGTGCCTTTTACTGAGGAGTGGCTTCGGTCTGGCCACTCTACCATAAAGGTCTAATTGGTGGAGTGCTGCAGAGATGGTTGTCCCTCTGGAAGGTTCTCCCATTTCCACAGAGGAACTCTGGAGCTCTGTCATCGGGTTCTTGGTCACCTCCCTGACCAAGGCCCTTCTCCCCTGATTGCTCAGTTTGGCCGGGTGGCCAGCTCTAGGAAGAGTCTTGGTGGTTCCAAACTTCTTACATTTAAGAATGATGGCCACTGTGTTCTTGGGGACCTTCAATGCTGCAGAAAGGTTTTGGTACCCTTCCCCAGATCTGTGCCTTGAATGAATCCTGTCTCGGAGCTCTACGGATAATTCCTTCTACCTCATGGCTTGGTTTTGCTCTGACATGCATTGTCCACTGTGGGACCTTATATAGACAGGTGTGTGCCTTTCCAAATCATGTCCAATCCATTGAATTGACCACAGGTGGACTCCAATCAAGTTGTAGAAACATCTCAAGGATGATCAATGGAAACAGGATGCACCTGTGCTCAATTTCGAGTCTCATAGCAAAGGGTCTGAATACTTATGTAAATAAGGTATTTCTGTTTTTAATCTTTTATACATTTGCAAAAATTCTACAAACCTGTTTTCGCTTTGTCATTATTGGGTATTGTGTGTAGATTTATGTTTTTTTTTTATTTCGTCCATTTTAGAATAAGGCTGTAACGTAACAAAATGTGGAAAAAGGGAAGGGATCTGAATACTTTCTGAATGCACTGTAGATCCTAAGGTTAACTTAGAAGACAAAGCATGAACAAATAAATGCTTACTATGCCAGAGGCCTATAAGCCTAAGAAATGTAGAATTGATCATACAACCTTCCTCCATGGACTGTATAGAGCAGGGTTGGCACACCCTGACTCTGGGGACTCTTATTTGTTGAGTCAGGGTGTGATTTTCTATGTTGTGTAGTTCTATGTTTTCTATCTAGTATGTCTAGATCTATGTTTGGCTGGGTGTGTTTCCCAATCAGAGGCAGCTGTCACTCGTTGTCTCTGATTGGGGAGCATACTTAGGCAGCCTATTGGCAATTAGGTGTTGTGGGATCTTGTTCCGTGAAAGGTATGTTGTTTGTGTCTACCTTGGACTTCACGTTTCGTTTCGTTTGTTGTTTTGTTGAGTGTTTATTAAGTTTAAATAAACATGTATGCATATCATGCTGCGCCTTGGTCTGACCCGTCTATCAACGAACGTGACAAGGGTTTCCCAACCCTGTTCCTGGAGCGCTACCCTCCTGTAGGTTTTAGCTCCAACCCCAGGTGTTACTAACCTGATTCATCTTATCAACCTGCTAATTATTAGAATCAGGTGTGCTAGATTAGGGTTGGAGCAAAAACCTACTGGACGGTAGCTCGACAGGAACAGGGTTGGGCGGTCCTGGTATACAGGATAAGAGAGAGAACAAAGGCATTTCATTCCATTTATAACATCTGAATGTGTAACCTTTCACCCCAAAACCAACCACCATTGACCAATCAAACGGTATCAAGTTTACAGTAACCTAAACACTCCCAGGCCCAATCTCCACAGGATGTCACAGCATTTAAAGGAATGTGTGGGGAATGAAACCAATGTAAATAAGACAGAATAAAACCTTTTTTCATATAGTAATTCAGCGTTCACACAATACAGATACAAGTAACCACAGAGATCATGCATACATATAGATCGCATCAGTTATCCTCAGTGAACAAGTTTCAGATAGAAACCATACATGGATACTATAGTATTATTCTATTACATTCAATAGTCAGTCCTCTGGATACTGTAACAGAGATACATTTTGGCCCCTCAGAGGGGGAAGGGCTGACTAGTCCTTGGGCATTGTCCTTTGTTCCTGGACCATTTGCCATGCAACTCCAGGTGTCAGAGAGCACAAAAATTATAGCCAGCTATTTTACAATCTGCAAAAGAATGTACACACGTTGGATTGGACCTTTAAATAAGTTCAGATGCCAGAAGGAATTTGAGTTGTATGTAGAGACCAGGGGAGGCTGGTCGGAGGATATATAGGAGGACGGGCTCATTGTAATTGATGGAATGGAATTAATGGAACGGTATCAAACACACCAAACATATGGAATCCACGTTTGATTCTGTTTCACTTACATTTACATTTACATTTAAGTCATTTAGCAGACGCTCTTATCCAGAGCGACTTACAGTTAGTGAGTGCATGCATTGTTTTTTTATTTTTCATACTGGCCCCCCGTGGGAAACGAACCCACAACCCATGCTCTACCAACTGAGCTACACTTATTCCATTCCAGACATTACAACAAGCCCATCCTCCTATAGCTCCTCCCACCAGCCTCCTCTGGTAGAGACTTATTCATGTTATTGTATGCTTATGCTCGGACTGGTTTGATGAATATGATGGTTTGATGGTATGCTAAATGGAATATTATGAAGTTGTACTGAATTGAAGGCACAACCTATTTTAGTTCCCATAGGAATAGTCATCAGAACCCCACATTTATGTCAAATTAATATAAGCACCATATTAATGTCATACTCCTTTGTCACTCATGGATACGGCGACAGAGACACAATCATGAATAAAGTACATGTGAAGCAGGAAGTGGTGTTTCGAAGCCACTAGAGGACATCCTCCCTCTCGTCCAAATGGATCCCATTTCACCCATCCAGTGATGAGTGCTGATGTGCCAGGACATAATCAGTGTAAGCCTTGACTCACTGTAGTCAATCAGTAGTGAATTAACCCTCAGTGTCCTGGCCAAGGTCCAGGTTCACGGTTGACAACTCCGTTGTGTCCTCCTCCCAGAGTGCAAAGAGCCTTGGCGTGACCCTGGACAACACCCTGTCGTTCTCCGCTAACATCAAGGCGGTGACCCGATCCTGTAGGTTCATGCTCTACAACATTTGGAGAGTACGACCCTGCCTTACACAGGAAGCGGCACAGGTCCTAATCCAGGCACTTGTCATCTCCCGTCTGGATTACTGCAACTCGCTGTTGGCTGGGCTCCCTGCCTGTGCCATTAAACCCCTACAACTCATCCAGAATCCCGCAGCCCATCTGGTGTTCAACCTTCCCAAGTTCTCTCATGTCACCCCGCTCCTCCGCACACTCCACTGGCTTCCAGTTGAAGCTCGCATCTGCTACAAGACCATGGTGCTTGCCTACGGAGCTGTGAGGGGAACGGCACCTCCGTACCTTCAGGCTCTGATCAGTCCCTACACCCAAACGAGGGCATTGCGTTCATCCACCTCTGGCCTGCTGGCCCCCCTACCTCTGCGGAAGCACAGTTCCCGCTCAGCCCAGTCAAAACTGTTCGCTGCTCTGGCACCCCAATGGTGGAACAAGCTCCCTCATGACGCCAGGACAGCGGAGTCACTCACCACCTTCCGGAGACACTTGAAACCCCACCTCTTTAAGGAATACCTGGGATAGGATAAAGTAATCCTTCTACCCCCCCTCACCCCACCCCAAAGAAAGAAAATAAATACATATATACATATTGTAAAGTGGTTATCCCACTTGCTATAAGGTGAATGCACCAATTTGTGGTCCTCTGTAGCTCAGCTGGTAGAGCACGGCGCTTGTAACGCCAAGGTAGTGGGTTCGATCCCCAGGACCACCCATACACAAAAATGTATGCACACATGACTGTAAGTCGCTTTGGATAAAAGCGTCTACTAAATGACGTATTATTATTATTATTGTAAGTCGCTCTGGATAAGAGCGTCTGCTAAATGACGTAAATGTAAATGTAATGTCCAATCGGACTAATAGCATGGCCCCTCGTCTACAATGCATACGATCATTGTCATCCCTCTAGCATACGATTTGTATATGACTGGTTAGATTGGCAAGCATAAACGTGTGGGGATTACTCGGACGACTACATATTATTCTGTTAGCCAGTGATACTTTGATATGGAGGGTTATTGTAAACAATCTTCAGTAGATTTCAGTCCTGTGACCTGCGCAAACTGCTTCATCACATGAATTTCAAAAGAATAATGCAATATTTGTGCTCAACTATTACTTTATTATATGATTTAGATCCAAATCAATACAATCTTTACCATACTACATCTATAATCTATATCTACTACAGTATACAAACAGTCTATACACTGGAATACACCTACAGCAGTCAAAATAGGATTAACAAATGCATAGTCCTTATTTTACTATGAAACATATTTTATAGCATAACATTTCAGTCAGATTTAAGCTTTATTTGGGAAAATACGATAATTTATATGTGGAATGTGATACAATTAAACATTATACCAAAAAGGCCTGCTGTAAAAAAACAGTATAGAAGAACATAGTTTAAACTACATTGTAAAATACAAACAGTAAAAGAGAATACAGCCATACAAAATAAAGGTCACATTACTATTACACAGTGACTTTAGTACTTGATTCATTTGATTCAACAAAAATATACAATATTTCTCAAAAAATAAAATTTTAACTTCACTTTAAATAATAGTGCAGAATAACATCACAGATTAAACAACAACAACAAAACAGTAAGAGTGTAGGCAGTAATTAAAAAATGGAGACCATCTAATAAAATTGACAGTTAATTGAAAGGTCACATTAAAAATGACAATGAGTACAGTATTTAATTCATTTGACTTGACATTGAAACTGAAGCCACATCATAAATCTATCCTCAAAAAGTGATTTGAATTTTACTGTTCATTGTGCAGCGATCCGGTGCCGAGACCACGTCTCAATGTAGACCGTGCTTACAGGCTATTTTGCTACTTTGCGCACAGAGATCTTTTCAGCTTCTGTGACGAAGTTCCTTGCTGTATAATGTTTGAGGAGTTGTCTCCAACTGCCACTGCGGCTCAACAGCTCTTGGTTTCCTTTGAGAAAGGAAGAAAATAAATGAGTACAATGACACTGTAGTTTAAAGTTAGATCATCCTCGTTCCAGTGATCTTTAACATTAAGTCCTTGAGGAAACGTCTCTCTCACCGATAATGCAAAGTCCCTCTTTGGCCCTGGTAATGCCCACGTTTATCTGGTTGGGGTCGCGAACAAAGCCCACATGTTTGGACATCCAGGCCCAGTCCGGCTCTGTCTCGATCTCCTCGCTGGGTAAGGAGCGCACAGTGGACAGGATGACATAGCGCCATTCACTTCCTGCATGGGAGACGAAGCAGCGTTGGTTATACCCAGGGCTAACCTAACCAGTTCAAAGTTCACAAAGGGACAACAATATAATCACAATCAAGATAGAACTGAAGGGAAAGTAAGAAAGAGTCAAACGGACACCTTGACTTTTTGTGATGGTGGTGACCGTGATTTCGTCCAGTTTGATTTTTCTCAGTTCTTTCTTAATTTCGGCCACCTGGGCGTTGTAGGGTGATAGGATCGCGATACTTTGTTGTTTTATTTTGGATTCTGTCACCAGCAGTTTGGCAAGCCGAACCTGAAATAAACAAAAAGTTACAATCATAAATTATATGAGTTGATTTTGGTAACTAACACAGTGTACCAGTGGCATGGCAAGATTTGAGTGTTGGAGTTGAGAAAAAACAAGAGGTTCCTTACCGCTTCGTTTCTCTCCTTCATATTCGCTTTGGAGTTTTCATTTCCTTTTGCTGTGCTCACAACCAGGCTGACCTCTTCTCCACTGACGTTGCCGAAAACAATGTGTGTCTGCCTGCTGTCAGCCTGAAGGACACTATTTGGGCGTTCCACGTCAGTCTTCAGTTTTCCTTCATAATACTCCTCTGATGGGAAGTTGCATATATCTTCATGCTACAAAAAGATAGAAGTATTTGTATTTTCTCATTGGACATCAATCTATCTAAATACGTATCTGTGTAGTCAAAGGCACCGTAGCATTTTGCCCTTGATCAACAATCATGAGATTTTATGATGTGAATTAAGAGTATCATTTTGAATGAATTCATAATAGACGAAATATGACCCCCCCCCCCCCTTACCATTCTGTACTGGGTATCCAGCATCACTGTCTGGGACCGCCGTTCAAAGTAGCGCTCAAAGAGAGACTTTGACATCCCCAACTTCCTCACAAGTTCATTCTTGATGATGGGACGTAGTTGTTTGTGGTCACCGAGCAACACAATCTTGGAAGTGGAAAGAGGTTATTTCGCCATCAATCTTCATGACTTGCAAATATGATGATGACCTATATAGGCCTTGGCATGCAGTTGATAAAACAGGGTTGCTGTAAAGGCTTAGTTTAAAATAAGATCTACTTTATTAGTCCATATGAGATGGAAATGTGTCTTCTGTCCTTTTCCAACCAATCCGATATACACACATACACCCCACCATTGCCCTCAGAACAGCCTCAATTCGTTGGGCATGGACTCTATAAGGTGTCGAAAGCGTTACATTGAGATGCTGGCCCATGTTGACCCCAGTGCTTCCCACAGTTGTGTCAAATTGGCTGGATGTCCTTTGGGTGATGGCCGATTCTTGATACACACGGGAAACTGTTGAGCGTGAAAAAACCCCAGAGCGTTGCAGTTCTTGACTCAAACCGGTGCGCCTGGCACCTACTACCATACCTGTTCAAAGGCACTTAAATATTTTGTCTTGCCCATTCACCCTCTGAATGGCACACATACACAATCCATGTCTCAATTGTCTCAAGGCTTGAAAATCCTTCATTACCCTGTCTCCTCCCCTTCATCTACACTGATTTAAGTGGAATTAGCAAGTGAAATCAATAAGGGATCATAGCTTTCACCTGGACTCAACTGGTCAATTTATGTCATGGAAACAGCAGGTGTTCTTAATGTTTTGTACACTCAGTTTACACACACACACACACACACACACACACACACACACACATTAGGTTTGAGAGGCTGGAGCAGAGAGCAGCCACAGTGCAGTGCCCAGTGAGCAGATAATGGGGTTAAATTCCTTGCTCAAGGGAACATAGGGAGTAGGTAGCACCTGAGAAATTGATGCAGCAATCCTCCAGTTTCCACTAGATTCTATAGCCATAGTCAAAATTCGCTTTTTGGTCTTCATTTAAGGTTAGGCATAAGGTTAGCAGTGTGATTCTATAACAATGCACTGTTTCCATGTCCAAACTCAAGGGTTAGACTACATGCAAAAAACATACCTTTTTTTACAGAAAATTTTTACACAAATGATGATCTTACTGAGGAGCCCCACTGAGGTGAACATTGTATGGCCCAGGCCTAAACAGTTGCTTCTGGATTGAACACCGATGGAAGACGATGTCATTCTACTACATAATAAACATCACAAACATAGGCCTATAAATGATTTACCTTTATTTTAAACATGTATACACCATTCTATACAAAAGGTAATTAAATATTTATTTCATGATCAGTAAAACATCTGTTGTTTATATATTAAGCAATTGGCCATATACCAAAAACCCCAGAGGTGTCTTATTGCTATTATAAACAGGTTACAATTGATATTAGAACAGTAAACAAGTAGTTTTGCATCATACCCGTGGGACACTATATATGCAAAAGTATGTGGACACCCCTTCAAATGAGTGAATTCAGCTATTTCAGCCACACCGTTGCTAACAGGTGTATAAAATCGAGCACACAGCCAAGCAATCTCCATATACAAACATTGGCAGTAGAATGGCCTTACTGAAGAGCTCAGTGACTTTCAACGTAACAACGTCATAGGATGCCACCTTTCCAACAAGTCAGTTCATCAAATTTCTGCCCTGCTAGAGCTGTCCTGGTCAACTTTAAGTGCTCTTATTGTGAAGTGGAAACGTCTAGAAGCAACGAAGTGGTAGGCCACAAGCTCACAGAACGGGACTGCTGAGTGCTGAAGCAAGTAAAAATTGTCTGTCCTTGGTTGCAACACTCACTATCGAGTTCCAAACTGCCTCTGGAACCAACATCAGCACAATAACTGTTTGTCGGGAGCTTCATGAAATGGGTTTCCATGGCCGAGCAGCCACACACAAGCCTAAGATCAAATCAAATCACATTTTATTGATCACATACACATCTTTAGCAAATGTTATTGCGGGTGTAGCGCAAGCAATAGCGTCGGCTGGAGTGGTGTAAAGCTCGCCGCCATTGGACTCTGGAGCAGTGGAAACGCGTTCTCTGGAGTGATGAATCACACTTCACCATTTGGCAGTCCGATGGATGAATCTAGGTTTGGCAGATGCCAGGAGAACGCTACCTGCCCCAATGCATAGTGCCAACTGTAAAGTTTGGTGGAGGAGGAATAATGGTCTGGGGCTGTTTTTCATGGTTTGGGCTAGGCCCCTTAGTTCCAGAATGGAGGCTTTTATAGCAGCAAAGGGGGTACCAATTCCATATTAATGCCCATGATTTTGGAATGAGATGTTGACGAGCAGGTGTCCACATACTTTTGGTCATGTAGTGTATATTGTCTCTTATAAACTGGGTGGTTCGAGACCTGAAAGCTGATTGGCTGAAAGCCGTATACCACGGGTAAGATAAAACATTTATTTTTACTGTTCTAATTACGTTGGTAACCAGTTTATAATAGCAACAAGGCACCTCAGGAGTTTGTGCTATATGGCCATATTTCACACCTCCTTGGGCCTTATTGCTGAATTATACTTCAACGTACCTTTTCTGGTTTGTTGCTGACCAATGGGATGAGGGCCTGAGGTTCCGTTGCCATGGCACATTCATCAATAAGGATCTGGCGTGCACTGACCGTTTTAGTCAGGTTAGGGGTGGAGGCTGCTGAGCAGGTGCACAGAATGACATCGTGTCTCTGCAGCTCATACACACGAGCTTTATTCAGAAGCTTTTTGTAGCTAGAAGAAAAAAATAAAAAATGTATACACATACACACACACACACACACACACACACACAGCGCCTTAGGAAAGTATTCAGACCCCTTGACTTTTACCACTTTGTTACGTTACAGCCTTATTCTAAAATAGATTAAATTGTTTTTTTTTCTCCCCTCATCAATCTACACACAATACCCCATAATGACAAAGCAAAAACAGGATTTTAGAAATTATCAAATTTATAAAAACTAAAATATCACATTTACATAAGTATTCAGACCATTTCCTCAGTACTTTGTTGAAGCACCTTTGACAGCGATTACAGCCTCAAGTATTCTTGGGTATGACGCTACAAGCTTGGCACACCTGTATTTGGCGAGTTTCTCCCATTCTTCTCTGCAGATCCTCTGCAGCTATTTTCAGGTCTCTCCAGAGATGTTAGATCGGGTTCAAGTCCGGCTCTTGCTGTGCCACTCAAGGACATTCAGAGACTTGTCCCGAAGCCACTCCTGCGTTGTCTTGACTGTGTGCTTAGGGTCGATGTCATGTTGCTCTGTCACAGCCGGCCGCAACCGGGAGACCCATGGGCGGTGCACAATTGGTCCAGTGTCATCCAAGGTAGGGGAGGGTTTGGCCGGCAGGGATGTGGGTTCGTTTCCCACGGGGGGCCAGTATGAAAAAAACAACAACAAAAAAAACGTATGCATTCACTAATTGTAAGTCGCTCTGGATAAGAGCGTCTGCTAAATGACTGAAATGTAAATGTTGGAAGGTGAACCTTTGCCCCAATCTGGGGTCCTGAGCGCTCTGGAGCAGGTTTTCATCAAGGATCTTTCTGTACTTTGCTCCGTTCATCTTTCCCTCGATCTTGACTAGTCTCCCAGTCCCTGCCACTGAAAAACATCCCCACAGCATGATGCTGCCAGCACCATGCTTAACCGAAGGGATGGTGCCAGGTTTCCTCCAGACGTGACGCTTGGCATTCAGGCCAAAGAGTTCAATCTTGGTTTCATCAGACCAGAGAATCTTGTTTCTCATGGTCTGAGAGTCCTTTAGGTGCCTTTAAGCAAACTCCAAGCGGGCTGTCATGTGCCTTTTACTGAGGAGTGGCTTCCGTCTGGCCACTCTACCATAAAGGCTTGATTGGTGAGTTGCTGCAGAGATGGTTGTCCTTCTGGAAGGTTCTCCCATCTCCACAGAGGAACTCTGGAGCTCTGTCAGAGTGACCATCGGGTTCTTGGGGACCTTCAATGGTGCAGAAATATTTTGGTACCCTTCCCCAGATCTGTGCCTCGACACAATCCTGTCTTGGATCTCTACGGACAATTCCTTCGACCTTATGGCTTGGTTTATGCTCTGACATGCACTGTCAACTGTGGGACCTTATATAGACAGGTGTGTGCCTTTCCAAATCATGTCAAATCAATTGAATTTACCACAGGTGGACTCCAATGAAGTTGTAGAAACATCTCAAGGATGATAAAGGGAAACCGGATGCACCTGAGCTCAATTTCGAGTCTCATAGCAAAGGGTCTGAATACTTATGTAAATATGGTATATCCGTTATTTTTATTTTTTATACATTTGCAAAAAAATCTAAAAACCTGTTTTTGCTTTGTCATTATGGGGTATTGTGTGTAGATTGATGAGGGGGAAAAAACAATTTAATCAATTTTTGAATAAGGCTGTAATGTAACAAAATGTGGAAAAAGTCAAGGGGTCTGAATACTTTCCGAATGCAGACCAATTCTAGCAGGTTTCAAATAAAATTCTATAAGAATGTACTGTATATTACAAAGGAATACTGTAATAAATATGACCAATTCTATCAGATGTAGGTTTAAAAGAGAATTCAATTAGAATGTACTGTATATTACAAGGGAATACTGTAATAAATATGACCAATTCTATCAGATGTAGGTTTAAAAGAGAATTCAATTAGAATGTACTGTATATTACAAGGGAATACTGTAATACATCTTTACTCACTCCTCAACTTCTTCGTCTGTCAGCTTCTCTCCCTTTGATTCTCTGGCTAGGTTTATTCTGCGGTCAAACTCTTTTATTGCCCTGGAATCCGGATTTTGTTCTTCCCGTATGCGATGATGCAAGGTAATAGCTCTGAAAATGGTACATAGTGTGAGATCCAAATTCATTAATAAATGCATGAAACATTTGACAAAAAACATGCTGACACCGGTCAGACAAATGATGAAGCAAGCACTACGACCAGGTTATCAAAGACAAGTGAGATGGTTTCCCAGAAAAAGTGGTAAAAAAACATTACAAAAAATTAAAAACATCTATATTTTTCAGTTGAGTCAACATTGGAAAATGAGCTGAAACAACTAAAAAGCTACATTACTTTTTACAGTGCACAACTTGAGAGTGACTGAATGTGTTTTATACCTGAGGTTTGGCTTGGACCGCTCTTGGCGAAGTGACCTGGCAGACAGCTGAAGGATACTGCCTGGGTATGGGTACTCCAGCATCTCCATTTGTCGGCTGTACAGCCTGAGGGGCTTCAGCTTGTCTCCAAACCTCAACAGATACTCTACAGAATGTCCACAATTCATAGAATGTTAGAATGTTCCCTACAGAACTTTACTCATGTTTAAGCTTTGAATGCATTATACATTATTTTGTCATGACAATTTCAAATTTAAGCATTCAAGAAACTTGCCAGCAACCACATCGACAGACTTGTTGGAAGGACCACAGTAGAGAATAACTTCTTTCTTGTCCTTGTCCTTGTCCTTGGGATCTTCAAATATCCTGGGCTTCTTGGAGTTTAGCACAAAGTACCAGTACACAATGTACACTCCTACAACGGTCTTTCCAGTCCCTATGAAACAGGTGTTGTTTATATTCCAGTAAACATAGAAAAAGGGCCATATAACAGCTTCAGGTATTCTGGTAGTACTATTTAATAACTTACCAGGTGGCCCTTGTATGAGTGTGAAGTTGTTATTCAGAGCTTTCTCCAGTGCATCATATTGACTCTTATTCAGCTCTGGGAGACCTTCTGGTGCCTTTTCTCTCATGAGTCGGTGCCGTGGTACCTCGGATTGCAAAGCTACAATCCCCAAGAAGACAGCAAAACAATACTTTCAAACATACAGCTTAATAATGACACTGAACTGTAAATCCCCTCAGACATACAGCTTAACAATGACACTGTGAACTGTAAATCCCCTCAGACATACAGTTTAACAATGACACTGTGAACTGTAAATCCCCTCAGACATACAGCTTAACAATGACACTGTGAACTGTAAATCCCCTCAGACATACAGCTTAACAATGACACTGTGAACTGTAAATCCCCTCAGACATCCATCTTAACAATGACATTGTGAACTGTAAATCCCCTCAGATGTAAAATGGGATTACGTGAGACAATTAATTTTTTTCTATTTATGTTATTGTCCAGTGCTTACCTCCTTTTGGAATGGGTTGTCCTAGGGCTATTTTCTGCACAAGCTCATTTGCAGACACAATGTTGTTCACAGCCATTTCTTTACGTCTAGATAGTAGAAAATGTTAAACACCATTAATTATAATATACTGAATTAATATAGGAACATTATGCCTATCCAATACAAATATTGGATTTTACTTTTACATTAGGACCTTATTTTAAACAGAATGAAATGTGGGTAGCGCTGTATTTTATGGTGCAGAAATTACCAGGTATTTACTAAAACATTCTATGATTAATGGTAATTACATTTTAAGCACCATTTTGTTGACTTAGTTTTAAATAGGTACCGGAACTGTAATATAAAGTGTCACCATAATGTCTATACATTTGAAATGACAATTGATCAATTCATGGCTCTCTCTTCTTTCTCTTACTAATTAATTTAGTACTTACACGTCTGGTAGAAGCTTCGGGATTATCTCAACCGTATATGTTGTCTTTCTCTGGGAGACACACTCTGGAATGGTATCCATTGGCAAATGGTTGATGTAGAAGTGCACTTTTCTGGCTTGATTTGGAGACTTCTTCTTTGGTTCGTCGAACTTGGTTGTAACACCATGAGCCACCCATGTGTAGTTTGTAGGGCCCACTACTTCCTCTGATTGGTCAGGGGTTGAGGCCAGTTTCAACCCTCTTTTTCGGATGCACAGTAAGCACTTGTTAAGGTTGCATTCGATGGCCCATTCTTTAATGTATTCGAGAGGAAGGTAAAAACTTCCTTCCAGTCTTTTCCCTTGCTTCAGCTCCAGCTCCAGCTCCTCAATGATTATGATGTCACTTTCATTCACAGCATTGGCTGCAGACTCCATCTCACAAAGTGGTCTCCAGATCCTCACATACTCTCCAGTGTTGCTATATTCACTCTTGGATGGACGGTCTGCACATTTGGAGAAGCATGTGATAGGGCTGTGGGCGTGGTCTACACACACCTCAAATGTTGGTTTGATGCACATCAACTGAACAGTGGGTGTCCAATAACCTCGCTTTCTTTCAGATGTAATTTGGACATGAAGTGTGTCTCCTTGCTTCAACTGGAGAGTAAGATCAACATAGTGTTCCATGTCAATTTTCTCATCTTGTCCATGTGCCGTTCTATGAGAGTCATTCCCAGCGTCAAGCAAATCCATTGTGGCATGTTTTGGCACACTCTTTACATTTTCCATTTGCTTTGTTGTGGCACTTAATATGAGAGACCTTGCTATGTTCCATTGTTCCTGGTCAATCGCGTCAACAATGGCTCGCCAAGTTGTTTGTGAAAGCTCGGTGCATGCAGAAGAATTTTGCACCCTTTTTAGCTCTTGGTGAGTTTTGGCAGTGTCAACTGAGTACACTCGTCTTCTCCATGTTAGAGTCATGTGATTCTCGTTTGAGTCGTACAGTGGTTGATCCTCCAATTGCAAATCTCTGTACATAACAGGCAAACTGTCTGGAAATGAGTGCCTGTCAAACGGAAACGAAAGCTTGAAACTGTCTTCTACCTGAACACCAACAACAAATGCTATCTTCAAAGCATTTTGTTTCTTCATGTCCATGGCAAAGGAGATCATCTCGGCCTTCTTTTCATACTCATTGGCCTTCTTGTATCTTTCTTCATTCTTCTGACCCAGAATGTCAATCTCTTGTGGAGAATATTGAACTGGAGTGACATTTAGGATTGAATGCATTAGCCTTTGCAGGATAACATCCATGTAGCGACGTATGGGCGAGGATGCTTGTGTGTAGGACTCAAGATGCAAGGAATAGTGCCCAACAGTTGCCTTATGGGATGAATTGGAACGGATGACATAGGCTTTGCCAAGACACTTCCTAAACTTAAATATCACTGGAAGGAGCTGGGGATAGATGTCATCTGTAGCTATCAGATCAATCATTCTGTCAGTGTCAACTTCCCCGTTCTTGGCAGCTGATAGGATCTCATTCCACACTGATGTTAGCACAGGGAAGCTTTGGCTCTCCATTACCTCCTGGTCAAGGTCATGGTCAAGGTTGTGCCTTAGGTGTGAGGACAGTGGTATGATGTCTTTGCACTGCTCTTTCAAGTCTTCGACCATTTCAGGGTCAGGTCTTGCTTGACATCGGAGAGGAGTGCAGTGCATGGTTTCTTTTGCGTTGATCAAAAATTCAGACACAGAATTGTTGAACAGTACACTAAGCTCCTCAATCATCTGATGGGATCTCCTCTTCCCCGGCATCTGGTGATCGTCCAGTCGTTTATAGCTCCAATCCTTGCCAAGCCTGGCCTTCCTTTGGACTTTAGCAAAACGATATGCCACAGCAACACAGTCTTCTACAGTATCAAACTTGGCCTCTTCTCTTGACCGCTTACTGATGATGTCCTCCGCCTCTTCATAAGACAACTGTGTATCAGAATTGATCTGAGAAAGCTGGAAGTTCTTGTCAATGATTTTGTCTGTTGCCTTGTCTACTTGTACCACTAATGAAATCACCATACGATCTCGACCAGGCAGCAGACTCAAGTGGTTGATGCTAAATGGTTTTGGGAACATGTAAACTGGGTCTTTAGGGCTGTAAAATGTAGCACCCTGTTTCTGTGCATAATCATCCAAGTAATCACCAACATTCACAAAATATGCCACATCTGCTATGTGAACTCCAACCTCATAATGGCTTTCCATGTCAATGACACTAATTGCATCATCCAAGTCTTGGGATTTCTTTGGGTCAACAGTGAAAGTAGTCAACTTTCGGAGGTCATGTCTGTTACCAATTTGGGTGTCTTCCAAGGAACACATTTCAGCTGAAACATGTCTGGGAGGTGATGGTTCGACTTTAAATTCTGCATCCAAAATCCTTAAGCCTTCCTCCAAAGATGATCCTATGGGAGCAATGTCTATCACGCGTCCTAATGGGAAGGTATACTTTTCATTGTTTTCAGTTTTCGAGTTCCAGGAAAGGACCTCCACCATAAAAACATGATTGTGTTTGATGTCTTCATCAAGTTGTTGAAATCTGACAATCTCCCATTGTCCATCATCGTGTTTCCATATTGGAATGGAATTGCGACTCCTTGCCAAGGTGCATATTTTGGTGGTTTTAGTATTGAGGGGTACCATTATCATTCTGTGAAAATAATATTCAGACTTCACTTTGGGTTTATGGTTGGGTTTATGGTAATCTTCATCTTCGAGGGTACAAGCAAACACACGACGGGGTTCAGCTGCCTTGATGGTTCCTAACACCTTTCCCTGAGGAAATACATCTACTACCACTTCGTCACCAGCGAAGGACTTGCCGAGGTTACCTCTACCTTTGATGATAATGTGCTTAGTTGGGTTGTCAAATGGTATGATATAACCTGCGTTATGTTTCTCCATGACCAATTCCCCTCGCTTGTACCGATTTGGCTTCTCTCTCAACAACTGCAACAAGGCATCTCTTTCAACTTCGCTACTATCGTATGGTCTATTTTGTTCTACTACACTTTTCGATTCTGATTTGTCTCCATCAGATGAATTGTAGTTTGCCATGTTTTGCTCCTCTTGTAGCTGTTGGAGAATTGCATCCATGTTGTTCTCTGTGCCAAACATAACTGACTGAGCGCTGGTCTCATCCAGGTATTCTGACCGTTGGAATCTTGACATTTCCTTGATATCGCCATCAATGAAGTCTTGTGTAAGGTGTTTCGGTTCAGCACTTTCCTTTGTTATACAATGGTCAATGTAGTTCTTCCAGATTCTTGAGCACTTTCCAAAGTAGCATAGAGCGGCAGCATCTCCAACCACAACAACCTGGGATTGAGCCCTAGTCATGGCCGTGTTCAGCACGCGAGCATCGTTGAAAAACTCCACACAATGTGAGTCAGAAGGGTGAATGCTGTCACGGGTTTGAACGGCTGTCAATACTATTGCTCTGAACTGTTTGCCTGTCAAGAAATAATGAAAAAATTGTATGGTTAAGGACTCATTATTTTGACAAATAAAAAGGTTTCTATACAAAGATCGAAATTACATACCAGTAGTTAAATCTACAAAATAGTGTTATTTCATGTTCATGTCTAGGAGACAATAACAAATAATTGGAATATTAACCAATGTTTGCAAATTAATCAAATCATATAACATTTTATTGGTCACATACACATGTTTAGCAGATGTTATTGCAGGTGTAGCTAAATGCTTATGTTCCTAGCTCCACCAGTGCAGTAATATGGAACATCTAATGATCAATACCTTGAACATTGGCAATATTTTCCACAGTCACTCGGCTCAGGGATATTTTCCGAAGCTCTTTCCTGATCATTTGAACCTACGAAAAAAGACAAACATTGACACAAAAAAGTCACATAAAAAATGTTGTTGTTCCCCTATTCACTCAAGAAATAGATTAGATTTCCTAAACTATGTTCAAATGACAAATAACAATTTTTACCTGGCATCCTTCAGAGAGAACACAGACTGAGCGTTGATCCTTATTCCCCCATGTGAGTGGCCAATCTCTGAGTAGATTTTGCACTATTTCAACCACACATGCAACCTCTTCAAGGTTAAACCACGACATGGATGTGTTGTCCAAGTGAGATTCTCCTCTGACATGGTGGAACCTCAGGGGGTGGCAGTTCGGATGAGCTGGAACATTACCTACAGCCTTGATGGCATCAGACTTGCCAACGTAGAAGTTAGTGGACACAAATTCTACTATCTCTTTTGTGGAGCGATAGTTCTCGTTGAAAATGATTCTGCTTTTCAAAGCTGCACTACTCTCCTGGGTTTGATAGTAGTGGAACAGACGGTTCAGCAAGGTGTGATTGGAGCGTTGGTCATCATCCACTGAAAAGAGCTTTGGCCCCATCTGCATGTGATCTCCAGCTAGAACCACTCGAGTTACTGGCCCAGCCAGACCAAGGGCCATCAGAGCTTCACATTCAAGCATCTGGGAGGCTTCGTCAATCAGGATGTGGGTGAAGTAGCCGTCAGGGAGCTTCAGGTCATGGAAGTGCCTTGCCATTGCAGTAGTTGTGATGACTATCCGATGGCAATCTAAAGCACATTTGGCAGGAGGTAGGAAAAACTGGCCGTTTTCTGATAGAAGGCAGTACTTCTGTGTGATCTCATCTGTGGCACTCACTGGAACCCCTAGTTTATTTGCTTTTATCCTCAGTGGCTTCATCTCAGGGTGTCCAGAGTTGATGTATGGGTGGAAGTGGTCTTTGACATACAAATCTGCAGAGCTGACAACAGAGGGGTTAGTTGTGCTTCCCTTTCAACAGTGATTGAAAATTGCTCGCCCTACTTTCTTTTTATTAAATTGATCCTTTACAAGTAATTAATGAGCAGGTACACTGTAACTACAAGTGTAGTTGAAATATGTATTAACATTGGGATTAATACATGGCATACAGATATGCTATCTTAATTTGATCACTCGGTTGTCACAGAGAATTGTCCTGCGCAGCAGCAAATGCCAACTTGTAGTATATTCAAAAAAGTATTTAAATGCTTCTAAAGTTTGTAATTTCCACTTTAACATTTCAGACTTGATTTGTCTTAACAAAAAAATGTATCAACAAAATGTCCACTTATTTTAATCTACATATTTCACATTTCCTGTTGCTGCAGGATTGTTTTCCTGCTGTGAGAAACTGGTCAAATTAAGATAGCACACCTGTAGAGGAACCACAGTGTATTTTCACAATGTGTTACATAATCCTTAACTGGCAGTGTATACTGTAACTGTCAAACCGATATGAGGCTTACACAATACAAATGATTGATGGACACTCATAATAGTCCAACAGCCTCACTGTTTTTTTAAGTAATCATTAGACAGAGGTCAAATAAACATCCTTTGTTGCTAATCTAATGTTTACAAAATGTTTGCATAAGTAGGCCTACTTGCACAAACAAGTTTTTACCAGTCTTAAGCATTATTATGTAACAATGAGTACCTGTGCCAGTCAATTAATTGCATTAGGTAAGACTGAAAATGCATGAAGGGACTAGAAAGTTAAACTCAGTGTAAGTGAATTGGTGTCAATAGAACATTGGGGTCATTACCTGTTTGTAAGAGTGCAGATCAATACTCTGGTGTGAGGCTGCCTTACCAGCTCTTTGGCTGCTGTAGCGAGCGTGAAGGTTTTCCCAGTTCCAAACGGTCCATAAATGAGGAGGGGGGCCACACTTTCTCTTCCATCGGAATCCCCTATGATGAAATCAATGGCTGCCTGCTGCTTTGCATTGAGTTTGGGGTATTGTATTTCGTTAACAGGGACACTGCAGTTCCTGAAGTCTGGCAACACTCTCTCTGTGTCTGGAAGGAGATCTATGGCTTTGTGCATCTCACAGAACTTCAGACGATTCAGCTGGAACTGGACTTCCATTTCACATGTTTCATTTCTTTGGAGCTTCAGGTCAGAGCAGCATCTTTTAGACAGCTGCAAGTGCATTTTATTCTCACTGGTGGCGTCTCTGAGGATGATGGCTTCGTAGACCTTGTGACTTTGATTATCTGAAGATACTGGTGCTATGAGAGCTGACTGGATGCCTCGTCTCAGCATCAAACCCTCTGGGGTGTCTGGGGTGAGAGTATAAGGGACTGAGACGGCACAGAACAGTTCATCCAGAGGAGCTATCTTCATCCCAAACTGAGGGTCGTCTAGGGTGGCCAACAAGGTGATGGTCCCTCGAACATTGAGTCTAAAACGCAAAAGAAAATGGAGGGACTTTGAGGTTGTTGTCCTTTTAACCAAAGAGTATTTATAATAGGGTCGTTCCACCAATTCGGTGCCTTTTGAGATGTGTAACTTGGTGAAAAAAACCCATTTGATTTAACCTAATTTTAACATTCAGTTCAACCTAATAAAAAATACATTTTCCCATCTCAAGAGGTTAAATAAAAAATATATATACTATAGTAAGTGCCAAATAAAGTCAAAGGTTTGATCGTAACCGGGTTGACGATTTCATCTTAAATCAGCCATAAATCCCCTTGTGACAGAGGAAATTGAAGCTTGTCTGCAACAGGTGGGTGGGGGGCAATTAGATGTTCAATAAAATGAAAAGGTATTTAAAAAGGAATAGTCACCATATTAAAACCAGAGTTCAGTTCACGTAATAGATTTGAACTTAAAATGAGGGAAAGGTTGTTTTTTTTTACCTTAAAATAAATCACTAGGGGCGGCAGGTAGCCTAGCGATTAAGAGCATTGGGCCAGTAAACGAAATGTCACTGGTTCGAATCCCAGAGCCGACTAGGTGAAAAATCTGTCAATGTGCCCTTGAGCAAGGCACTTAACCCTAATTGCTCCAGGGTCACCATCAATAATGGCTGATCCCTGGCCGTGACCCCACTCTCTGAGGGTGTCTCAGGGAGAGTTGGGATATGCAAAAATACACATTTCTATTTCACATCTCACACTCGTGCAGGTTGTCCCCTATTTGATCTTTGACCTTAAACACATTAAATAAATAATAATCTTCAGAAATTACTTTGTCAAAGCAACAAAATAACTAGGCCTTTACAATGATGGTGAAACTTGTAGAAATGTTGGGGTGAAGTGGGTTAAAATCTTCCTGGAAGTCACAGAAGGTGCACGGAGGGACATGTCAAAATGCAGCATTTTGGCACTTTAGCATATCTTTATTAATATTAACAATCTGATTCATTGAATTCTCCATGTGGTCTATAATAAAGGGCACTTTATTGAATAAAACAGGCTTTTAAGATTTAATATTAGTGCACAATTTCTATTTAAAATATCAAAGGGATGTAAAAAAAGGCACTCATTTCGTGGAACGACACAATACTATTAAAGATGATCAGCTAGGAAATAAAGCCATGAAAAAGTTACTGATGTTATTACCTTGAAACCACCTGATCTTCTGCCTGCTCCTCTGTGTACAGGAAGCTGTGCATTCTCTCTTTGTAGTTCTGGTGATTCATGGGCGTGTTGCTGTCATCAAGTGGTCTATACCGCAAATTAATCTGAGGAGGCTTGTACTCCTTGAGAAGCTCTTCCTGTACTTCTGTCTTGTCCAAGCAGGGGATGAAGACCCTGTTCCCCCGATGCCAGCGTTCCAGATTCTGGGAAAGAGGCCTAACGTCCTCAGGTGGCTCCTCGAGCTTAGGGGATAGCTGCTGTCCGACTTTAACCTTGAGTTTCTGCAGGAGCACTGGCCTCATGTCAAAGTCAAACACCAACCACTGTTCGTAAAGACCCGGGTTGTTGGACTTGAAGGACACGGTGATGTCATAGGTCATGTCTGAGTTACAGAACTGTTCACTCGTGGAGTAAGTGCAGGGCTCAGGACTGTTTACATCCAGGGAGAAAGAGGCTCCAGGCTCCTGTTTCAGTAACGCTACATGTGCAAGTAATCTCTGTGAAGACACAGGCAAATAACATAGGTGACCAAATACACTATGAAAGTGGAAACATGACAAACGGCAAAATGCAAACTTCGCTTGAGCCATCTCATCCTTGCTAGCTTAGAGGCACATTTTATTTATTTATTGTTTTGTACGAGAAATGTGGTTTATAAACTAAATTCATTATTAGTAGCCCAGTTTATTTCCACCCCTGCCAGCTGATAAAAGTCCCGGATATGAGAATCAGTCCACTTTAAATTAGAGGTTGGACCTTGAAACTTTAGTGGAGAGAATGTACTCTGTTTCTCAGAGCCCAAAGAGATAGCAATGAAGGTTGTAAGAGCCCTGGCCTTGAATCTTTTACTGGCAACAGTAAACTTCAATGGAGGAGAGGCACAAAGAAGAAAATGTAAAAGCACAGCGTATTATTCACAGACACTGAGCAGAGAAGTGTTCTCAGTGTATTGACTGTATTCAAGAGCCCTACATTCACATACATATTCACGTAACAGGCAGTTAGGAATAATCATCAAAACAACAGAATGTCATACTTATAGCTAGCTAACTGTTACCTCTGTTTTGATCTGGAACTTCCATTTGAATTCTGCATCAGTCTCCACACACTCCACACACAAATCCTCTTCAAAAGTGACAGTCACGTCATCAACTTGCTCTGACATCTGTAACATGAAATCACACTGTTAGTTGCTTGGGGACAATGAGCATTTTATAGTAAAATAAAATGTGAATAATATGTGGTAGGGAGAATATCTCAAATGTATCAGTGCGCTGGAGGGCAGTATCAAAATGGTATAACAGTGTGATATTAAATGTATTGGAAACAGTTTTGACAGGTGTTATTATGGCATGTGTTGACAGACAGAGTAGTTCATGTCACTTGCCCACTTGAATAAATCAACCATTCGTTCTTTACATTGAAACAACACTGACACTCACTGTCAGATTCAGTCCAATCGACAACGCAGAAAACCTGCACTGCTGACTAATCACTCTGTTCCGGGAGAAATGCACCGCTTTGTCAACATTAATATTGATTTGTTTATTTCACACGTGCGGCATCATCTAATTATTTGCCTCAGTGGAATTATGCAGGAACATTGTTATTATTAAGCAGTGCAGGTTTACTCAAGTGCAGGTTTGATTGAATCTCAATTGCATGGAGACGTGTGTTCCTGATCTGAACTATGATGACTTACAATGTGCACTTCATTGCTGCTGTGTCTGTACTCCTCCAAAAGACGTTCCCTGTAAGACATGAGGCCTTGAGCCTCTATGTTGCGCCTCATCTCCTTGTCCTCTTTGGCTCGCATTAGCCACTCTTCATGCTCCTCCTCAGAGTGAGCTTTGACACAGTTGGTGCCATATTCACAGGTGTCAGGCCTGAGAAGTAATGGCAGTGCAAACTATAATTAGACGCTAAAGGTACAAATCAGCAAGATTTCTTGCTGCTTATTGATCATTTCAACAAATTACATTTACTGTATATCCCATGTTTTGTTAAGAAAATTGCTTATTGATGACTTAATATAATATAGACAATAAGGGCTATTTATATATGCATCTACCATAGAGATTGCACTTTTAGACTTTTAGCAATGTTCGCAGTCACTCAGGTGTGTACAAAAACGTCTGGAATGTGCAATGTGTGTGGAGGCTGTCTCCTTGAGTTTACAAAAACATGTTTACCTCTCGCACAGCCAAAATTCTGCTTTGCGGCCGTGGGGCGGGGGACGATGTTTCCACTCCGTGGTCGTGTCCCCGGAGATCATCTGGGCGTGCTCCAATGAGGCACAGTGTTTGAAAAAGCTCTCCCGAGAGGAGAGGGTTACGAGGCAAGCCTTGCAGTAGATCGCCACCTTCAGGTTAGCGGCGGGCACTACGTCTTGAGCCGACGGTTGCTTCTGACGTTGCCTCTCCTGGGAGAGCTGCAGGAGTTCCTGGCGACTCCCCCCACGTGCTTCTGCTCGCCAGACAGCCATCTCCACCTCGCTGTGGGCAAACTGGCACGTGCTGGGCCCGTGCCAACAGGGCATACCTTGCATGACATGGTTGCAATACTGGAAAGGGCAGACTGGGGGCAGAGGCCTTATCTGATTGTAGACTTCCTTCCCCTGACTTTCTGCCAGGTGATGAACCAAGACTGGGCTCCAGACATGGGCTGTATCCACGGAGCAAGTGTTGTTCCACCGTTTGCCTGTAATTGTCGGTGGAGTGCCGAGGAAGCAGTCTTTACAGAGCTCTTGAAATTCCCCTGAGAACTCAGTGAGGATGTTTTCGGACGTGTTTTGCTGTTGGACGGCAATTCTCTCCGACTCGGTTATCAGTCTAATTAACGTGCTGTGATCTATCCCATGGTGCTTTACGAAGTTCCACACGGCGGCCTCCTCGTGGCTCCTTGCGAAGGTGCAGCGGTTCCTGTGCTTCTTACACCCAGAGCCCTCCTTGAAGAACCAACAAACTTCATACTGGCTAGGGTTAGGAAATTCAGGGCGACGGGAAACAAGCCTCCATTTGCTAGTACCTTTGCCTTTAGCCAATAGAAGTTCTCTGCTGCATTGGTGGTCGACTGCTTTAAGGGTGTACGATATTTCGTTCTCTTTGACAGAGCATGTAGAACACACAACTTTAAAGTTATATGTCACCAAGAGATCAGTCAAGTTGGACCTACTTGTCCCTTTGGCTGGCATTGTTGAATCTTCATAGAATCCGATATAGAGTGAGTGGGATTAACATTATGGAGGGAACACAACGATGGTGTTTTAGATTTGCAGATGTCAAGAATGTGGCAATTTTTCAAAGACAAGGTCATCTATGTCCATGGCCTCCTTTCACAAGTTGATTCTATAGGAAATGAAAATACATTTTGTAAAAATTGTAATGATGTAAATAAATAATGTGCTGCACATGTACAATCAGCATTATAGCCTATACTGGACTGAAGCATGATGGTTTTAGGATTTAAAACATATCACATTGAAGTCATTAATGAAAGATCAACTGAAGGCAATAAACAACTTCTCTGATAGAAAACGGCCTATATGGCATCGATATTAGTCAGAAACATTTATAATAGTGTCAAAATTGACTACAAAATATAATTTTCATAAAGGTCAGCCTCGTCCAAAACAGAGTTTTGCAAGTGATGACTTACTTGAGGGTTGGGTTTTGATTTCGACAATGCTCACTTGCCCACTAATACGGATATACAGCTGCGGTGATTGCACTCTATCCAATCATACAGCAGAACACACAGATAGTGAGGCACCTGCCCAGTGCAGCAGATCTGACTTGATTTACATAAGACAACACGATGCAAATGTTTTAACTTGAGAAATACTACACCAAACACGTTAGCTAGATGTACAGTGGCTTGCGAAAGTATTCGCCCCCCTTGGCATTTTTCCTATTCTGAGACAATAAGAAGACACAGTGGCAGAATAAATAAAGTCCACAAAGCATATTGCATGTAACAAATAGTTACATGACCTACAGCATGGTCAAGCAAGTCAATGTTTCCGACATTTTCGGACTACTAAATTAATTTAGAACCACAGAGAGTTACCGCAAGTCACAAAGAAAACAGGAGCTGCCTTCACTATTGCAGCACCATTTCAACTTCAACATTTCAACATCATCAAATCACCTCTGCTTAGTCTAATAAAGTGACAATTAAAAGATACCAAAAACAATTTAGTTAAATCAACGTAAGCTAAATATGATGTGGCTGTCCATGGTTCTGATTTGTGTGTGTGTAGTAGATAACCACATGTTGACTCACGCTACTTGTAGAGAAACGCAAACGTCATCTTCCTCTCTATCAAGTTGACGAAACAGTCTATGACTCTGTCAGACAATACATGCTTTTAGTTTTTGTTGTCCTAGGCAACCTGGCTAAAATGCTTGCTTGCTAGCCTAAATTCTATTAATGGGCAAGGTTAGCTAGCTACATATTGAACTTCCATCCTCTCAGTCCAGGGGCACAATGTATGAATTTATGGTTGGATCAGAATCGCCGTTATAATAATTGGCCAGTACGGAGAATTAAGTAAAACCACAAGTCCAAATCCCTATCTGCATCCATGGCTAATTTAGGAAAGGGTCAATTTTAGCTAGCTAGCTAGCCACCGGAGGACAACAACACAACGAGAAGCAACAATTCAAGTTGTTTCTGTCAATTACATGTTGATGCGATGTCATAGGAGTGAAGCCAAATCCAACCTGGCTCCCTTGACACTTTTTTTTTGATGTGCCAGGACCATTCACATTTGAGCTCACTCAGGTTAGCTCAACGCTGATTGGCTATTATTTTACACTTTTTTTTATCAAGGGAGGCCAAATGCTCGCTGGCTTCCCTTGCATTCAATCCTACAGGCGGCAACAATGTTATACAATGTTAAATGTGCATTCTTTAAAGATAAAATAATGGTTAAAAGCCTGGGCAAAAGACTCGCCGGCTTTAAAATAGGCATAAACGATCAGTTCCCAAAGGAAATCACAGAACAAAGCAAAGTACTGTCTCCACTCTTCAAAGACAATAGACTAAAATGGACACGTGTAGCTCTCGTCGTCGACAAGCTATACACTGATAACCAACTGTTCCGAGACACCAAGACCACCCCATGGCTATTCTAAATCAAATGGAAGATCCAACATTATTAGGGATTGTAATAAAACATAATAAAAACAATTAACAAAGTAACTATAAATACACTATACTATTCAAGTTCGGAAATGTTGTAAAATAATTTGTATTACATTTTTTATGTATAGTATTTATAAATAGATAAAAGATAGGACCATTCATGAAATAATAAATCCCCAAATACAAGGAACTGGAACACAAAAGTACCCAAAGCCCGATATTAGGCAGGAATCAACGAGCTATAAATAAAAACACGACAAGCAGAGGACATAAAAGTGGGTATGTACGGGTGTATATGTGAGGGGAGTGCGGGTGTGTAGGAAGATGGGGTGCCTGTGTGTTTTGTGTGATTGGAAAAGTGTGATGAGTTAAGTGAATGAGTAAGGCAAATGCTTGCAAATGCCAGAGCAATTTTTTTTTTTTAGTCATTTAGCAGACGCTCTTATCCAGAGCGGCTTACAGTTAGTGAATACATATATTTTTTTTATACTGGCCCCCCGTGGGAATCGAACCCACATCAAGCCTCCCGAGTGGCGCAGTGGTCTAAGGCACTGCATAGCAGTGCTAGCTGTGCCACTAGAGATCCTGGTTCGAATCCAGGCTCTGTCGTAGCCGGCCGCGACCGGGAGACCCATGGGGCGGCGCACAATTCGTCCAGGGTAGGGGAGGGAATGGCCGGCGGGGATGTAGCTCAGTTGGTAGAGCATTATTTTACTCCAATTATTATCTATCTGGATGCCTAGTCGCTTTACCCTGCCTTCATGTACATATCTACAGTTGAAGTCGGAAGTTTACATTCACTTAGGTTGGAGTCATTAAAACTAGTTTTTCAACCACTCCACAAATTTCTTGTTAACGAACTATAGTTTTGGCAAGTCGGTTAGGACATTTACTTTGTGCATGACACAAGTAATTTTTCCAACAATTGTTTACAGACAGATTATTTCATTTATAATTCACTGTATCACAATTCCAGTAGGTCAGAAGTTTACATACACTAAGTTGACTGTGCCTTTAAACAGCTTGGAAAATTCCAGAAAATGATGTCATGGCTTTAGAAGCTTCTGATAGGCTAATTGACATCATTTGAGTCAACTGGAGGTGTACTTGTGATGTATTTCAAGGCCTACCTTCAAACTCTGTGCCTCTTTGCTTGACATCATGGGAAAATCAAAAGAAATCAGCCAAGACCTCAGAAAAAAATGGTAGACCTCCACAAGTCTGGTTCATCCTTGGGAGCAATTTCCAAACGCCTGAAGGTACCACGTTAATCTGTACAAACAATAGTACGCAAGTATAAACACCATGGGACCACGCAGCCGTCATACCGCTCAGGAAGGAGACACGTTCTGTCTCCTAGAGATGAACGTACTTTGGTGCGAAAAGTGCAAATCAATCACAGAACAGCAAAGGACTTTTGTGAAGATGCTGGAGGAAACAGGTACAAAAGTATCTATATCCACAGTAAAACTAGTCCTATATCGACATAACCTGAAAGGCCGCTCAGCAAGGAAGAAGCCACTGCTCCAAAACCACCATAAAAAAGCCAGACTACGGTTTGCAACTGCACATGGGGACAAAGATCGTACTTTTTGGAGAAACAAAAATAGAACTGTTTGGCCATAATGAACATTGTTATGTTTGGAGGAAAAAGGGGAATGCTTGCAAGCCGAAGAACACCATCCCAACCGTGAAGCACGGGGGTGGCAGCATCATGCTGTGGGGGTGCTTTGCTGCAGGAGGGACTGGTGCACTTCACAAAATAGATGGCATCATGAGGAAGGAAAATGATGTGGATATATTGAAGCAACATCTCAAGACATCAGTCAGGAAGTTAAAGCTTGGTCGCAAATGGGTCTTCCAAATGGACAATGACCCCAAGCATACTTCCAAAGTTGTGGCAAAATGGCTTAAGGACAACAAAGTCAAGGAATTGGAGTGGCCATCACAAAGCTCTGACCTCAAACCTATAGAACATTTGTGGCCAGAACTGAAAAAGTGTGTGCGAGCAAGGAGGCCTTCAAACCTGACTCAGTTACACCATACACCAGCTCTGTCAAGAATGTGATGAAAGATATAAAAGCTTAAATAAATCATTCTCGCTACTATTATTGACATTTCACATTCTTAAAATAAAGTGGTGATCCTAATTGACCTAAGACAGGGAATTTTTACTAGGATTAAATGTCAGGAATTGTGAAAAACTGAGTTTAAATGTATTTGGCTAAGGTGTATGTAAACTTCCGACTTCAACTGTACCTTTACATTTACATTTGAGTCATTTAGCAGACGCTCTTATCCAGAGCGACTTACAGTTAGTGAGTGCATACATTTTACCTCAAGTACATCGTACCTCTGCACATTGATCTGGTACTGGTACTTCCTGTATATAGCTCCATTCTTGTGTTTTTTATTTTATTCCTCGTGTTAGTTACTATTTTAACTCTGCATCGTTGGGAAATGTTGGTAAGCAAGCATTTCACTGTAAATTCTACACAAGCTGAATTTGGCGCATGTGATAAATACAATTACATTTAATTTTATTTGATGTGGGATGCTGGGCTGGAGGGAGTTGTAGTTTTCATTAAGCAAATATTCAACCTAGTTCAGCTGAGAAATGTGGTAACTACAACGACAATAATCCATTGCACCAGTTTTTTTCAAGACAGAGATGGATCATAGAGCAAGGGGCGAAGCGAGAGGTTTCACTCTCGCCAAAATCTGTCAAAAATAATCCCAATGCATTTCTACAGGCTTATTTTGGACCTAAACTTGTCGCCTGCTTTCCCACCTTTGGGACAACGACTCCCATTGTTAGGGCGGTGACATGAGCATCTCGTCGTTATATACAGATCTCTGGACGAATACACTTCTACGCCTGCTACGTTAAGCCTGTTCACATTACCCATAAGCACTCCGTTACGTTGCGCCGGATGTCATGCATTTCAATGGGGACATCCACAATGGAGTGGACACGCAACGCCCCCTTGCAGTTGAAGGCTCCGTTGCGAGACGGACACTGCATGATGGCTTTATATGATAGCT